GAGCAGAGCCTGCAGTTGGGGCTCAGTCCTGAGAGCCTCACACTGCACCCACATTGCCTTGGTGCTCCTAAACATCCCCAACAACAACATTGGGTAGCTGTTTACCAGTTTATTCAAGGCTAAAAGCACAGAAAGTCATTATTGGGAAACACATCTCGTACTTAATCCTCTACTTGGAGATTTTTCCTTCTGCCTTTGTGTGGTGGGAGATGAGGGATGAAGGGCTGGGGAGTTTTCCTGTATTGCACACACAGGGCTGCAGGGCTGGGCATACCCAGGCCTTTTCTCATCTTACCTTCTTTTTTTTGATCCTGCTTTGTTGACCAGACTCTTTGTTCAAGAAAAAGGTGATATTGCAGGTAGCCTAGGAGGCCTCTGCATGGCTCTGTGGAATAAGCAGACGTTTGTATCATGACAGAGTTGTGTATTGCAATCCACTGTACTTACCTCAAGAAGAGTGGAAGTAGAAGGGAAACCAGAAGCAACTGTTGAAAAAGAGAAAGATAGTAGTAAAAGAGGACTGTACATATCTTAGAGTATTGGAGGAATGAGCATGAAATAGAAAACTCTGCAAAGTACTCAGTTCAGAGAAAAACAGATGAAAAGGGTTTTTTTCATCCATCAGAGGAAACTTTCTCTCTTGCCTCGGCCCACGAAAGCTGTAGCTGTGCTATTTGTGGGAGAGAGCAGTAATTCATGTAAGACGAGATCTCCACCACATTCAGCTTCTCATTTTCCCTCAGTAAACCAACCTTGAAACTTCTGCTTGTGGAAAAACTTGTCAAATCTCATCGCCCTAAACTGTGGCAAGACATGTGATTTGAAAGTGGGGGTTGCCTCCTGCGCTGGACGAATGTCAGTGTGTGTTTTGTTGGCTGAGACCTGTGCTCTGATACACTGCTGTTTCTTTGGTTTTCTGGGTGTTTTTAGCTAGCCCTGGCACTGCAGTTGTGGGAGGCAGACACAGGCCTGGACGGATCCTGTATCCTGGTTTTTCAAGTATTAGAAAGTGAAAGCAGAGCTATAGCTGCTGTGGAGCTGAGGGTTTTTCTCTGCTGTGGCTTTGTGCCTCAGTCACCTGGGGCTGTGGGAGTCTGGATGGAGCATGGAGACTCCCCAGGAGGCCTGGAGGGTCTTCATCCTTCCTTCCTCTTCCCAGCAGAGCAAGTGTAGCCAACATGCTAAGGCAAGGCACCAGTTTTGTCTTGGATATGTGGTGTGGCAGAGAGAAGAGCGTAGGAAGCTCTGGAAAAGTGACTTTTTAGGTCTTTGAGCCTTGGTAAGATGTGAGCTGCATATAAACGAGCTAATTCAGTGGGCAGTGATGGGTTGTTAGACAGGTAGTGGAGATAAACATAGGTTAGGAAGATGTTTTCATTATAGTTGCAGAGCTCTGAGAGAACAGGAGAAAATGGTTAGCACTAAACCTGCAGTGAAGTCCGTCAGAAAATAAGGTGGGGGAGCTGGGAGTGAGCCTGGGTTTTGGGGTGGGACATGCTGATGCTCACCTCAGTCTGCTCTATGGCAACCAAGGGGTGTTCTGGGTGGCAGAATTGTGTTAATTCACTGCCTCATTTATGTAGTTTGTCCCATAAATGATTTATTTCATGCATTTAAAAATGGAGAGAATGAATGTTAACACATTCGTTTTTGTTTTTATTAATGAACTTGGTCACTGGCTGAACTGTAGCCTTTGACAAGCTGCTTTGGCTCATGTTGCAGCATTTGCACAATGCCTTTAAGTATTGCAGCTCTGAGTATGTCATGGGGTCATGGAATCAACCCCATGTATTTCACTTTCATTTCATGTGTTCAGAGTGGTTTGCTTTTTTATTAAAATGAGCTTCATCTCTGAGGGAATGGCCAGTGAGAGCAGCACTAGGATGTTTTTATAGCAGATTGGTATCACTTGTAGTTAATTGGAAGGAGGCTTCTGGCAAGCTTTTAAATGTGTAGGAGGACAAGATTATCCTGATGTTTCAAAGAGAAAGTATTTTGTATTGAAGACTGAGATTTTTATTGTGATTAGGAAAGGGGAAGTTTCTGTGGGAGGATAGTTTTTTCTGCTGTAGTGATTAATTTAGGTTTCATTTTTTGTCATAGCTTTGTTGTGAGACAGTGGGCAGGTGACAGGGAGGTGTTCTCTGGATCACTGGCAGGATGGATCATCTTCGAGAAGGCTGAGACTTACTGCAAGAAAAATGGAGACACATTGAGTTGGAATTGACTGGAAGTACCCAAGTGTATAAATAAGTGATATGTGTGGGAGTGCTGTCCTTTCCCTGTCCCCTGGGCCAGCAAGGTGTTCAGGTGTTACTGGAGCTGGTGGCACATCTTGCATTTCAAATGGTTTGGGTTAGGTCAACCCTAAGTGTACACAGCTAACACTTTCTCTCTTAGAAAGGTGTGTCACAGGTAAATGTACTTTACAGTTTCTTATGGGATAAAATGAAGTCTTAAGGTAGAACTGCTCTGGGGTTTATTAATTATTAATTCTGAGCTTGGGAATATGTAAATAGCACGTCATTGCTCCAAGTGCCTCTTCAGTACATAATTAATGTGTAATGCACTATGAAGAAACCCTTTGATCTTTTCTGAGCTTTGCCAGCCGAGATGGGTGCGTTAGCCTTGAAGAAGCAATGCTGTCTGGTGCAGAGAAGAGTCTGTGAGGTTTGTGTCAGCAAAGCACCAGAGACTCCATGTGCCAAGTAGCAACTGTGCCCAGCATAGCATCTGGTGTGCCAGAGGTTTGGGCTCCTTCAGCCTAATGTTGGTGGCACAACTCAGTTGTTCATGTCTTCTCAGCCTAATGTTGGTGGCACAACTCAGAGTTGTTCATGTCTTTAGAAAATGTACCCAATACTGTTGGGGTTTGTACTACAGCATTTCTACTGGATATTGCAGAACCATATCTTCTAAAGGGGCAAGAACTTTACAAGTGTTGTATCAAAAACAGTGGCAAGAAAAATAGAGCCTTGATTATATTGAGAGATCTGAAAGTTAGTTTTGCTGGCTCACATTTGGCATTAGTATGTGATATTGATTCTGCTGAAAATAGCTAAGATGGGGTTTTAGAGCTTTACTTTTTGCTTTATATTGTATTCAGTGTCATCCTCAGCTGAGAGGCTTATGTGGCTAGGAAGGGTGTACTTCATTCCATGCTAACAGTTTAAAATGAGGCTGTGTTCTGGACAGGAATTTTGGTGTGTATTATGTGTGTCACTGCTGAAACCATAGTTTGACTTCCATTCTGCTCTTCTGAATATTCTATTTCACTGGTAGTTCTTTCTTTTTTCCCAAAGCTATTCAGCATCAGAGATAAAATCTGAAGTGTTTAGTCACTTGGTGTCCATTCAGAATTTGTTTGATGTGAACTGGCCTGCTCTACCAGCTGACAAAAATTAGTGTGGCATGCACTCTCTGAGTGTGTGCTATGTGAACTGTGAGAGACTTTCCAGCCAAGTGTGAGTTTTTTTACTAAAATGTTTTTTCTTCATTTTATTCCATTTTCAAACTTAAATTTGCTACTGTATTCTGAAGTATGTGGCAAATGAAGCTTGAGGGGTATTGTCATTTACTTGGAATTACTGCTGATGTTAGTGACAAAAACAGTAACTACTTTCAAAATCTTTTTTCTTCATTTTGCTGGTTTTGTTGTAGGAGGCAAAGACAAACTAATGGACGAAGCATAAGAAGTGCTAGAACAAAGTGTATCTGCAAGACATTATTGAAATTGGCAAAGAAGGATTTAGCAGAGATTGATTTTTATTATGGCTTTTGTCAATCTTTTAAATTTAGGTTTTGTTTGTGCAAAATGTTCAAAGTGCAGAATCTTTATCTTGAGGAAACTTTTCTCCCTTAGTTCCTCATCGTCACGTTGAAGTGCCTTACTTCAGTCTCATTTTGTGGCAGAGCAAAATGGGAATTCTTTCAGAAAAATGTCAGTGGGTGGGTGTGGGTGATTGTCCTGAAAACCAAAGCAAAACACTCTTAAGGCCTTCCTTGTCTGCCCTGGAAGATTAAAATAAAACCTAAGCAGGAAACCCAAACCATCCATGCAACTCTTGTGCTTTGTCGGTTGTATTTAAAAGAGGACTCAGACACAGACTTGCATCTGGTGGCTGTCAGTGGTATCTAGTGGTGTCTCTGTTGTACTTATCAGTGGTATGGGATTTATATATTTCAGTTTTGTCCTCTGGACACACTTTTTCAAGTATAGTGAGTTTCAGTGTTTATCCTAAATGGTGAATTAAACTCTTGTCTTGCCAAAGTCTACATGTGTTAACTCCACCAAGATATCTCCTGAGTTCAGTGGGACTAACCATTATCCCTGTCACATGTTTGTCTTTGCAGCACCAGATTTTCCTTCATCTATTAGCTGCTTGTTTTATTGTTTTATGAGGGAATGATAAAATATGTTTTTATATGAAATACAGCAGACTAATGATGATAAATGTGACCAAGGCAGGCATTTTTGGAGACTGGCAGAGATCCTCAGTCTGTTCCATTTTTGAGTTGATTTAGATGGCAATTGGCAGTGAATTTGAAGTAATATCTGTATTGAAATGTCTTTCACAATCACACAACATTAAGACTATGTAATTGTGCTTGAGGTTGGCCCAGTGGAAAAATGCATTCCATCTTCAGGTTTTGGAATAGCATATCATGAGTGAGGAGTGAAATGAAATGTCTGAGGTGCTGTTTGCACGTTAAGTCAGTGGCCTGGGAGGGTTTCATGCTTTTCAGGATGTCTCACACATTTTGATGTTAGACTCCTTGTCATTTTGCTAAAATGGACTTTTTGAACAGGACAAAAGCAGAAATTCTTAGATTAATTTGCTTTTGTTTTTGCTCTTTAGACAGTGCCCTGTTGTAAACGAAAATCACACATTCCTGAGTGTAAACCGATCGCGTTCCCAATGGAAATTTCAGGAATACTTGTGGCTACTTTCAAAATGTGGAAATCTATTTATTTTCTTTCCACTTGTTTTTCTTGCTAGGTTTTGGCACTGACTGCGTTCATCTGCATAGAGACCATCATGAAATGTTCCCCTTGCGAAGGCCTTTACTTCTTTGAGTTTGTGAGCTGCAGTGCGTTGGTGGTTACTGGAGCTCTCCTGCTTTTGTTCAGTCTCAATCTTCACACAAGAATACCACAGATCAACTGGAACCTTACTGTAAGTTCATACAAATTCTCACTCTGTTAAAAATAGCTGCAAATCTGGTTTAAGTTTGGTCTTTGAACTTTACTTTCTACTGGTGTTTCAGATTGTGTATTTTTTTGTGCTAAGTATACCTTTTACTTATATTTATTTTGAAGGAGCTTGAAATGTAGCAAGATTAAACTGCATTAAATAGAACTGAAATTGTCTTCTGGTAGATTCTCTTTGGAAGGAAAATCTTTCTGCTAGTGCCAGCAATTACTCTGTGTGGAAGAAGTGGACAAAAATGCAGCCTGTAGTTGTTTAACTTTGACAGATGTTGTATTTACAGTAGCCTGTTGTTCTCTCTTAACCTAGTTTTTTGTATTAGGACAAAGTGCTGCATATATTTTCTTACACAGATTGATACAATCATCGAGTAGTAGTGTAAAGAATGATGTGCTTTCTGTGAAAATCAGGTGTTTTGAATTGCTTCCATACTTGACTACTACGCATTGACTGGCAGTGCTTAGTGTGTTCTCAGATATGAGGAGTTTTAGGAGGAGAACTGCTGGCAGTGCACATTCCTTCTGTACAAGTCTCTATTTTCATGCTGTATTATGAGTTAAACTTTCAGATTGGGTTGCATAAACACAGGTCACAAAATCAACATGCTAAGTCACTCTAGCAAAAGATCTGTCAGCTTCAAGGGCAATATTTATATCGACCTCTTTGGACAGTACAGATACAGTCATGCCAATAATCTGTTTTATTTTATAACAGCAATTTTGTCAGCACTGTTGGAGTTCCACAAGGGTTTAGGCTCCTGTGTGATTTTTTGTAAAAATTATTTTAAAAAAATGTAATTCATTAATGTTGCAATTTGCTTAGTTTGTAAGTGTAAATGCCTTGTTTGAAGTGAGACTGGAATGTGGAATTCGAAGATCCTTTGTACCCTGGGGCTGTATAATCTATTGATGAACTCCTAAGAGTGTTTGGTAGATCAGTTAGATGGGGTGAGAGCTGTGGATGGTAACTGTGGGTGGGGGAGATGCAGGTGGCTTGCAAAAGAAAACCAGTGGCACACCTGGAATGTTACTGGGCTGTCTTGCCTTTGTTCCTTTGGTTTCCATTCTGCCAGTGTTGTCACCGCAGATCTTTGCAGCAAGCTGAAAAGCAGCAGCTGCAGAGGGAAGGTGGTCTCTGTTTCTGCTGCCAGCCTGGTTGTGTAATGGGCATCACAGCAGCCTGACAGCTGCCAACAGCAATTGCAGACTGTTGTCTTACACCACACAGTTCTGAACATGCTGGTAGGAGGTACAGGAGCATGGTGACAAGTGTAAGTGCAGCAGTGTCACATAAAACACACAGTGTTTGCTGGTGTGATGCAGGTGGTTTCACGGGGAGTACTAGATGTAGCTCATGTTCAAAGTCAGTTTTTCCAAGACTGAAATTTTTCAGAGTCCCCCGGGGTGGTATGTGTGGTGCCCATGGCTGAGCTGAAGCTGCATCTCTGGGTGTTGAGTGACTTGGCATGCTCTTGGTTCTGTATGTCAGTCCCTTTGGCTCAGTCACTGATCCCCGTGCACGCTGTTACTGCCTGCCAGGGCACTTGGCAATATGTTGGGCAGACATGAGTGCAGAAGCCTAAATGAAGCTCTCTGTCTCTCCCTTCAGAGAATGCTGTAGATATCTGTGTGTAACTGTGAGGTCCTTTTAGCCACTCTGACTTCTTAGGGTAATTGAGAGACAAGAATTGTCACTGTGAGTGTAGCATGACTTCTCTGTATAGCCTTCTCTTAGGAGATTTTTAGGGGAAGGAGGGCTTAAAAATCCAAACACTTGCGGGGTTTTTTTTGTTGTTTGTTTGTTTTGTATTAAAAAAGTGTTTTTGTTTCTGGGCAATGATCAGACTCTGAACCCCCTACCTAAACAGCATGGGGCAACATGACATGGTCAGAGTTCAGCCCAAAGGCCACAGGGAGTACACTGCAGGTGCTTTTGCTTTAGTTCATATTGCCACATCCACAGAGGTAAATTGTCATGGTCTTGCAAGTCTCATTCTTCTAGTTATATCCTGAAAATGAAGTGCTTCTTCCATCATTTTATCAAAGATCTCTGGCAGAAGTGAGAAGAGAACTGACTTCCACTACCTGATGAGAACATCCTCCTTCCTGGTGTTTCTTACTGACTTTAGCAATGGTTAGCCTAGCAGGGCTGTTACCCTGACAGGACTGTTGGAGTGTATTCATTATCAGAGTGTTTAGGACCATTCTGTGTTCCTAGACCTGTCTCTGCTGTTGCACCTACAGAGTGTGAGATCAAAGGCTGCTGAAACACCCATGGGAGATTACTTTGGCAAAGTTAGGAGGAAATTTAACAGTGTAGAGTTCTGGCTGAATTTATTTTTTTTCTTATTTTGGCATTCTTTAGATGTATATTCATATATTATTTGCCTCTTTTCATTATTATTTTCTTATGTTTTGATGGCTGTTTTAATAATATTTTTATCGTTTTGCAGCCTCTGTATGTGACAGTGTTATTACAGGAGTTGCTTTCTAACAACTTTCACACCCCTGAATTCTCTAGGGGGAAGTCACTCCTGCTTATGTATAAATTCATCAATATATAAGTTTTTAAAAATCTGTATGGCTCTATCATGCATATTTCCCTTATGGAAAACCTCAAGCATTGCTTTTAGAAGCTGTGTGAGAAGAAGAGGCTGCTACAGTGCTTGAAGGAATTTAATAGTCTTAAATTTAGCAAAGAAGTCTTTCTTTAAAAGCAGCACTTCTTCCTAGGAACCATTTGAAAGCGTTTGCTTTTAAATGATCCAATATATTAGAAAGTACTTGCCCATCAACTGCTCTTGTCCAACACAGGATTGTTCCTTTTAGTACTTCATAAAATAATGTATTTGTGGAGATTTATCTGATGTGCACTGTCCCCAGCTGGAGTGAAAATATGGGTCGGTATATACCGGCATCTAACAGATATGCAGATTTTGTTCCTAATTAGAGACTTGCCAATCATTTCCATATTTTCCTGAGGTAAACATGAAAGAAACGGAGATGGTGAGGCCAGGACAGAGCCTGGCTGGGGTGTGTTGGAGAGAGGCTGATCTGTGCAGTGAGATGAAAGAACAGTCACTTGTCTGTGTTGTGCAGCACTATCAATTTTATGCAAAAATGCAAAAGCTGGGGAACCTGTCAGTGGAAATTTCCATTTCCTTTATGCCTCACAGCTCAAAGGGAGCCTATTCTGCAGGGAGAGGAGCGAGTGGCATGGGGGAATGGAGAGCACAGCTGAGACTCCTGGTTAACCAGCGAGCTGCTGCCTTGACATGTTTGCCTTCAGAGTTAACTCATAACTGAATGTTTGGTATCATTTTGCATTTGGCAAAATTATCCTTTTTTCTCATTTCTAAAATTCATTATTTGACTCTGGTGTGGTCTCCAGGGAGAGGTGAAGGTCTTGCAGCCAAGCTGTGAGCATGGCTCAGCCCTGCAGCAGCAGGGATGGGTGGGAAGGATGACAGGGGTGTTGGTAGGCACTGGGGTGTGCTGGTGGGGGTGTGTGTATCCCAGGCCTTCCCATGGCACTGGCACTGCTGCAGGGCTGACAGCTGAAGGGATGTGGGGAAGGGGAGAAGGGATGGCAAAGAGCTGAGAATACTGGAATTGGGAGAGAGATGAGAGAAACCAGAGGCATTCCCTATGTGATTCAGTGTATAATCAGCCACTAGAATGAACTGTTTGTCTGTGTGCAGGGTTGGAGGAGACCTTTAAGATCATCTAGTTCAACCCTTAACCTGTCACTGTGGTAACCCCTAAACCATATTTTCCAGCACCAGGTCCAGATGTCTCAAACACTTCTAGAGATGGTGACTGCATTTGGACCATGAATTTTTTTTTTTTACATTGAGACACATACTGGAGCTCTGGTAGGATATTTGGTGTGTGTACAGAGTGTTTTGGCCTGGAGCAGCCTCAGAAGTGAGGCACAGAACTGAGCACAGCACCAAATCAGAGCTCTGCTGAGCTAGTTAGCCTGGACTGGTCCCAGGGCAGCACTGCTGCAGGGAGGGAACACAGGGATTCAGGTGTGTCTCTTGGAAGATACAGATCACTCGTATTTTGTGCTGCCTGAAAACTTATTTCATCATCTTTGCAGGGTTGTTTCTCTCAGTTGTTGCAGTGGTGAAACCTTGTGTGCAGCAACTGATGCTTGAAGGCGTTAGCAGAAAATGTCACGCGGTGCCAGAGTGACAAACTGTCTTGTGCCAGCCTTGGCTCTGGGGAGTGTCGTCACAAAGATGTAGCTCAAAGGCCTTCACAGGGCAATCTGGATGTTTATTTTTATTTCTAATCTATTTTTTCCCTTCTGTGTTGACAAAAAAAAAGTCTTGCTTCTATTTGGCTTGCTTAGCTGTTGGATAGAAAATTAAGTCAGTCATCCTTGACTTGTTTGTTTACTGCTCTCAAAATAGCAATACCTGTTAAGGATAAAAATGAATATTTTCTAAATTAAAAACATTGTCAGAATTAATTTCCTTCATGGACTGTTCTCACCTGGTGCAGTGTGGTGTAAAGGGTATGTTATTGTGCAAGAAAAGCAAAGCTAGGTTTTAAATACAAGAAATATGACATGTTTTGGTTGTAATTGCAAGTATGGTCTCTTGCTTTGTGGCAGTAACTGCTGGTCCTGTCTCTGTGCAGCCTGCTCGTTGGAAAAACATGCAGGGAAAGCAGCTAGGAGCAGCTAAGAGCTGGGAGGGAAACAGGGAGGTGATCTTCAAGGAACCAATGTGAAATGGGGATTGTAGCAGCATTCCTTGAGGAACGTGTTTTGTCATTTACAGCAGAGTTAGTGCGTCTAAGAGAGCTTCTATTCCAATTCAAAAATAGCTAGAAATAAGAATAAAATCATACAAATATTGGTTTTGAGGCCACCTCTTCCATTTCTTCGAAGTCACAGCTCATTCCTCAGCTTTTGCAGAGCTGACTAAGGTTTTTGCAAGTCACTTATGTTAATTC